TCTACAATCCGAGGTACAGGATCTCAAGATAAATCCTGAGGGGATTTCACTGACCTTATCAGATCCAAAAGCTACAACTCTTGTTGTATAGGTCTTGCTTTATCTTGGTCTTAACCATTCAGCAGAAAAGTATAAAAACAAAGTATAAGAAGTAAAGCCATGCTGTTATGTTGAGATGTAGGGGACTCAGGTCATCAATTTCTGACACTGCCAGTGAAGCGGAAGACCCAATACTATTATGGACTACTGGACTCTTTCAGAATATTTTGCTGAGTTAACACACCTATAATATTCAGATGATGGAACTAAACCAGAAAGGGGATACAGATGAATGTCCATTTTGTGTCTGTGTATTCAAAATGGTTAGGATAGATAGTTACATTCTCTTAATAGAGGGATTTGTTCTAATAGTGTTTGTAAATAGGATATCATGTCTGCATCTTGTACAGAAGATAACCACTAGGAAGAAAGTATGCAGTGTGTTAATTATTTGAAACTGTCCTACCAATTTGATTTGAAACTGTCTCATTGCTATTTGTCTCTCAATAAAATTATGGAAAAAATAATAAAATGACTTAATCTCTCAAAGTGTCTTCCCATCCAGACATTTAGTAATCATTTACTTGGATCTTTGTTCAAAAGAATTTTTCATATTATTGGATAAATACACACACGCAAACACACATACTCACACTTCTTTGCTTTTTTTGTGAGATAGTGTCTCATTGTGTTGCCCAAGTTAACTTGAAGCTTGGGTTCAAGGATCTTTCTGCTTCAGCCTCCCAGATAGCTAGGACTGCAGGCATACACTCTTTATTTTAGTTTGAACTGTAGAATAACTTTTTAACTTACAAAAGCAAAAAAAACAAAGGAAAAAAAAGAAAAAATGAAAGTGATGATATTACAACTTTCTACTGGAATTGCATTAACTCTATTCTTATGTTTATATCTAGTTTTTAAAACATTGCCATTCTATATTGTTACTGAGATTACTATTTCTAGTTTCTTGTTTTCTGCTTCCTTGCCACTTATCAATAAATGAAATTCCAACTAGTTATCAGGAGAAATATTGCTGGTTGTCAGAAGAAATACTTCAAGAGTAAACTGGTTGTCAAGAGAAATACTTCATGAAATTAATCTTGAAGTCTCATAGAATTTTTATAAAATCTGTGGCTTCCTAAGTTTCTGAAGCCTTATATGTATTTATTTTTCATGAGTATTTTTGATGAAAAAGATTGGGGAGAATAAATCAAATAGAAGATATTAGTTTTCATCTAAACCTAAAAAATTCTGCAATAGTTGTTTGTTCATTCTCCATTGTGTTGCAGTGTTATGGATTATTAAGTAAGGTGTTCAACTGCCTGGGAAGTGGTGTGTGTGTGTGTGTGTGTGTGTGTGTGTGTGTGTGTGTATAAGTAAGTGTAAAGCTTATTTCCTGCTTTCATGTTTTGGTGATGTGTTTCAATGCCACTAATGAAAAATATCATTTCTTTGCTTTTAGGTTGGAATGTTGCATCAGCAGATAGAAGAGCATGAAAAAATCAAGCAAGAGATGGCCATGGAGTATAAGCAGGAGTTAAAGAAACTGCAGGAAGAAGTAAGATTTTTTTTCTGTTGTATGTTGTTTCTCTCTTTAACTTTGAGAATTTTGTCATGAGGACAAGTTTGTACCTTATAAAAGTACCGTACCCGTACATGCTATGAACAGAGGCAGACGTATGTTTCTTTGTTCTGGAATCTAGGTGTATAGCATGTTGCTTAATTGTATGTTTGATCTTACCTAGGCAAGGGATTCTAAAATATGTTTATTGGTTGAGGAACTGAAATAAGTAGATCTGTTTCTATATAACGCGGTGAAATATTGACACCAAAAATTTAACGTTTAAATTTTCGAATTAAGCCCATTACTAAATGTTAAATAATGGAGGAACTAAAGGTTTAAAAAGCATTTGGGGTTAAATAGAAAAAGTAAGAAATTCTATCCATTTGCTCAGTTTCATTCATATTTGGGAAAAAGTGCTTTTTATTAAGCTCCTTCTAGGATGCTTCTTTCCTGCTTCCTGAACAGAAGCATGACCTGGGAACCATGGGCTGAGAAGAAAGACTTCCTTATTTGTTGGTTTTATTGTGGAGGTGGTTGGTAGGGTCTTTACATGCAAAATTATTACAATAAAAATCAAAGTTTGTTTTAAAGTTATTTTTCTTTTAATTGCTAGAATTTATTTTCCATATGTAATTGTTTTTATTTTAGTTTAAGAACTACTAGTTTGAGTATAATACTAGTTGGTACTGGACTTGCTTTCATAATATCAATTTGCTTACTAATTCTTGTATGTTAAGAATAAAGCACTGTCTCCACAGTTAGGTAGACTGAAGAGAAGCTATGAGAAACTACAGAAAAAGCAGATAAGGGAATTCAGAGGAAGTACCAAAAATCACAGAGAAGATCGGTCTGAGATTGAGAGGTTAAATGGAAAAATAGAGGTATGTTCATAGTAATAACCATAGTGATTGTCATCCTTTATGTAAGCAAATGCTATTTCTAACGGTGGTTTCCTGAAACCAATTTTCTGCCAACTCCAGGATTTCCACTGAGCTATTTCAGTGGCGGGAGTGTGTTCTACTGTCGTCCTCTCATCCGCTATGGTTCCCTGTGGTTAATGGGGACCTAGCTATTAATAGGTGTTAATGGGGCAGTAGCACCCTCATAGGGCACTTGGAAATGTATAACAATGTTTATTTGCTTGCTTCCTTACTTGTTTTGGTTGTCAGAATAATGGAGCATGAAACTGTTATTTAAGGACAGGAGCAGAGGTAATAAATATTCCTAGGGTTGTATTCTGGAAAGGATTATTGCCCCCAGCATCTCCAGCATTGAGCAGTATGGACCACAAGTTCAACACTGTCCTTTATGAGCAGTATCTTTGTCTTATTTATTGGAACTTAGAAAATGTTGAAAGTATGTGGCTTTTTAAATTTTGTGGTATCCATTTAAAACAAGCGAAATTTCTAAAAATTTTTATTAGTAAATGTTTGCAGTAAACAGTGATTACATTCATTGTGGGGAGCTGGTGCATGTACATAAAACATCTTGTTACATCTCTTTCCTTCTCCATCCCTCTTTAAGTCAAACCCTTCCCATTTGGAAATCAAACCCTTCCCATTTGCAAAACAGCTAATTCCCTGTTTCCAACTAGTTGTCTTTTATTTAGCTTTTCTACTTTTTATACTTTGGGTTTTTCATATAAGAAAAACCATGTGATATTTAGTCTTCTGTGTCTGATTTATTTCATTTAATATTATGCATCCATTTTCCTACAAATGACTCAAATTTATCTCTTGTAGCAGAGTAGTACTCATTGTGTGTATATGCCACATTTTCTTCATCCATCCACCTGTTGATGGGCATGTAGGACAATTCCAAGATTTAGCTATTATGAGTTGTACTGCTATAAACGTAAGTATGTATGTATTACTGCAATATCATTCTTCAAATCTTTTGGGAAGATACTGAGACAGAGAATAGCTAAGTCAGATGTAATTTCTTGTTCTAATTTTCAGAGGAATCTCCATATTGATTTTCCCTAATGGTTGAAAGTTTACATTCTTGCCAACAATGTAGAAAGATTCCTTTTCCTGCGCTGACTGGCCAGTACTTGTTATTATTTGATTTCTTGATGGTAGCTATTCTTTCTGGAGTAAGATGGAAGAAAGTTAGAAAGAGGGTTCACCTCTCCCTTTGCTGATCTTATTTTAAAGAATGACTGTAGGGTCATTATATATGTTGGTTTCCTAGAGGACTTAAAGAGCGGTGGTAAGTCAGCACTGCCAAGAGTTGATGAAGGAGCAGCATGAAGCTGTCATTCTTTGCACCCTGAATGCACCACTCTCCTTGTCTGTCTTCTCTATTAGCTCTTCACTGTGTGTCTCAGTTATTTTTCTCTCATAGCTGGGACAAATACCTGACACCTAGAATTAAGGAAAGGTTTGTTTAGCTCACAGTGGATGTTTCAGTTCATACTAGGCTGGCTCCAAGGCACAGTGGCATACGGCAGAGGACAGTCAGTCATGGCAGTGGAAAACAGCAAGGGCAAATGGGAGGAGTAACTACAACAACGGCAGCAGAGAACAAGTCTGTCTCCCTTGTGTTGCATTCAGCTATCTGCCCCAGGCTGAGTGTAGCACTCATATCCATAATCCCAGCAGCACTTACACACATAATCCCAGTGGATCATGAGTTAATCACTAAACTCTAGAAGTGCACCCCATGATTGCATTAGGCTTTTAGGGGACAACTAGATGCAAACCATAATACTATACCTAAGAATTACTTAGGGTGCCTTTAGATTCTCAAGAGATTTTGGTCCAGTAGTATGGTACAGGGCCTAAAGTCTGCATTTTATCTATCTCTTCTAGCTGGTTTTAATCTGAGAAGCATTTTTTAACATATTTGTGTGATGACTAATTTTTCTATTCTGAGCCATCTGTTACCAACAGTGTTAATTACAAATATTATTACCATCTAGAGGTATAATTTCTATTTTTAATATTGTTTTATATCTCGACATTTTTATACATTTGAAGAACTTAGAATGAGAAGATTATTGCTACTTCCCCTCTAACCCTCCAGCCCTCTTCATTGTTTTTTTCCCTGTCAAACCCCTTATATCCATCTTCCTTCTCATTGCTACTTCCCTTCTCTCTTCTTTTTTCTTCAAAAGTCCTGTCTTTAATTTTCACATCCTCAGCCTACATACGTGCAACCAAGGTCATTATCTCTTGCTTCTTGGTTTACCGCCCTGGCTCATAGATTGCAGCTGTCTGTTCATTGTTCACTCCAAAGTTGCTCTTCTTGTAGCTCTTAAGGATTCAGTGTCCAGAGGAATGAAGCTTATGTTACTTAGGACTTTGGGGTTTCTTAGGATCCTTTCTTCTATATATTTTGATTTTCTCCAAGTCTCATCTCCTTATCCATATTTCTATTTTTGTCTTATCTTTAGCAGTATTTGCAAACCCTCTAAAAATCTCATTTTTAACTATCTACTTGAGTATCATCCCTGTCCTCTTAGCGCCCATCTAGGCCTTTGATGCTTAATAATTGTGTAGAATCTGGATATCTGACACATTAAGAATCTGTCTCACTCAGTCTTCTCTTATTGCTGGGACAAATACCTGACACTCAAAATTAAGGAAGGAAAAGTTTATTTAGCTCACAGTTACTGGAGGTTTCAGTCCATACTCAGCTGGCTCCAAGGCAAAGAGGCACATGGCAGAGGGCAGCAGTTCATGGCGGTGGTAAAGAACAGAGCAAAGGGGAAGAATAGTGACAACAGTGGCTATGGAGAGCAAGTCTGTCAGTTGCATTCAGGCTGTCTGCCCCAGGCTGGGGGAAGTACACCCATAATCCCAGCAGCACTCACGCCCATAATTCCAGTGGATCATGAGTTAATCACAAACTCTAGAAGTCTGCTCCATGACTGCATGAGGCTTTGGGGGGACAACTAGACACAAGCCATAATATCATGTCATTACATAACATCCCTTTAGAATGATTGAATCCTGGCACCTTTTCACTGCTCCCTGCCTTCGTGGTGTTCTCTTACCAGTCGGCACCCGCTCAGATTCCCAGGTCACATCGCTTACCTTCCTTGCATGTGTCCTGCCCTGCTCTGGTTTCATTGCATTTGCTTGGCAAAACCACACCTCTAGTTAGTTCTCCTTCCTGCCCACTGTCTACCTGCCACATGTGGCTCTTTTTGCTCCACAGAATTCTACTGTATCTCTTCTCACTTGCCCACTGTCTACTGTGACTCTCCTCGTTCTCTTCTTTCCTCAGACTTTCAACGTGTTTTGCTTTCAGGTGGTACATTCTTTCTGTGCAGATTCCAGTGCTGCGTCGGCTTCCCTGTCCCTTGTGCCATACCTGTGAGGTTGCCCCGGCGGTTTTCCTTCTCTTCTCTGTCTGCTCAAGTGTTTCTTCCTAACTGTACATTTTCTATGAGGATCCATATTTCTGTTCCTTCAGTACCATCTCTAGACCTCTACACTTGTGCCCCAGTTTTCTCCCTCATTGTGTGGTAAAATGCTTTATGCCTCTATCCTTATCTCTAGGTTCCTGCCCCCCCTTTTTTTTACACCCCTGGAACAAGGCTTCAGACCCTTCACACTGTAGAAGCTGTTTGTATGCTGGTCACCATTGGCCTCTGTGTTCCTAAAGCCAGGAGCTGGTTCTCATCTTTCTCTGCAGCTTTGGATCCAGCTGTTCTCTTTCCTTAAAATAGTTTCTTGACTTTACTTTGAGGAAAACTGCATTTTCCTCATTCTTCTATCTTGCTAGCCACCGCCTCAATTTCCGTTGCTTCCTTACTTTTTGGAATTTAGATCTTTCGGATATCCAGCTATGGCTTTTTTCTCTGTTTCAGAGTAACGTTCAACTCCCTGTTTCACATCTTTACTCTAGTGGGCAAATCTAAAACTATTTTTTTTTTTAACTGTCAATCTTAACGTGTCCAAAATAAAGGTCTTTACTTTCTTTTTTCTGTTTCCCAACACCGGTTCCCATTTCAGATGAGGGCATCTCCATTCTAGTCACCCCAGCTTCATCACTTATCTTTAAAGACACCAGCATATTCCCACTTGAGGGTTATTCCCTGCCCCTGCAGTAATACAGCTCCATCCACCTCTCCCTAGGTGTTTGCGTAATGAATGTTACCTGCTAAGTCTGGCCGTTCCTTTTAAAATGTGCAGTTCTCCACTGTGTGCAGTCCATGTTTTGTTGTCTCTAAAGCGTACTGTGCAATGAATGTGTTATATGTTGCCCTTCAGTTGAGTAGGCTTAGAGTTTTTGTTTATCTTGTTAAAAATTGTTATTCCCAGCACTTAAATTAGTACTGGGCATATATTATAGGAATGAGGGAATTATAGTGATAACAGAAATCTGGTTATCCACAATTATAAGAAGAGTCAGATATCCTAGAGGACTGTGAGAGATTAGATCTCTTTGTCCTTTGGCTTATCCCCCTTTTCCTAAGTACTGGGTTCTTTTTTTGGTGTAGAGTTTGAAGTTACTGTTGACCCATCATTAATTTTGAACTGTTTGACTTTGGGCTATACAATGCCTGTTAAATGTATCATGCTTGTCATGTTTAGTGAATTCTTCGTAGTTCTGTTGAGATGTAAAAATGTGACCATCAAAGCATGCTGTGCTGTCTGTACCTGTAGTACTTGGTCCTTGAGTTTCACGTACTGTGCACCACAGGACTTACCTGGAAACTTACTTGAATCTGTTCCATTCCTGAGTGTAGATAGCAAGGGCTACATGTAACCATATTTTGAATTTTAATTGTCGTAGCATCAGTTTTCTAAAAATCACTTGAAAATGATAGCAACCCTGAGGTGACAGCAAATCTGTGAAGATAATTGTGAACCCCATGCTTGGCATCTGTACCACTAGTGTGTTAAATTTGGAAAGACAGTTGTCCAGGGGCACAGTGTCAGTGGAGCTCCGTGTTATTGTGCAGTCTGTCAGCTAAGTGAGTAATGGGGCTCCTGCTGTGGAGAATGGTGGGAGTATACTCAGGGAAGTGGGGAAAATTAAAGCAAAAGTGAAGCCAGGAAGTAGTGACAGGGAGGGGCACTCTTAGAAGTTAAGTAACTTAATTGCCTCCTTAGGAATTTCGTCAGAAATCACTGGACTGGGAGAAGCAGCGCTTGATTTATCAGCAACAGGTCTCTTCTCTGGAGGCACAAAGGAAGGCTCTGGCTGAGCAATCAGAGATAATTCAGGTAGGCCTGTGACATTTTAACCATGTGATTGAATCTGACCACTAAAATGTGAGTATCTGATGCCATTCTGCGGGTTCAACTTCTCTCTTTGAACTCTGCTCTTTTTCTTGTGCAGTGAGCCCATGCTGCTCTATTTACAGGCTTATCCTCTTCAGCAGCTAGACCTGTGCAGGTGGCTGTGCCTCTCTTCCTTGTTCTCATGCTTGCTTGCATCTGCCAGTATCTCTTCTGCACCTTCACTCTCCCACCTTTGATCTCTTGCCCTTTCTCCCTCCATTTTTACTTTTTGTTC